GTTTAGCGTGTAGGGTTTAGGGGTTTAGGGTTTAGGGTGTAGGGTTTAGGGTTTCGGGGTTTAGGGTTTGGGGTGTAGGGCGTAGGGTTTAGGGTTTATGGTCAAGAGAACAGGCAGGCATCTCGAAACAAGAGCCAAAGGTGGCTAGCAGTCTACGGCTTCAAGCTCTAAGATCAAGCATCGTTCTCGAAAAGGCCCCTATCTTTGAAGCCGAGTACAACATAGATCGCCAACAGCGTGAACCCCAACTTAGAGAGATTACGAGGCAAATTAGGTTGGAAATCTTGAACTGAAGTCAATGCCCAGAGTATGAACAAAAACAAGCTTTGCAGTTCAGTTTAGGGTCCCACACTCACCCGATACGGTTTAGGCTTTGGAGTTTAGGGTTTAACTGCCCTGAGGCTTAATACCCGAAAACTGCACAAAACCATGTAGCGCCAAAGCTTACAAGCCCTCAACTCTATTATTCAACCTGTGTAGTAGTCCAACCTCTTCTGCCCATCTTGCATATCCCCCACGTATGTCGAGCAAGCTAGTCGTTGCCATGAGCCTGTACCGGCCCCTAAACCCTAAACCCTAAGGTAATGAGAATGCTTAACTCTTGGGGCTTCAGCTCAGTAAGGGGGACGGTACGAATGTTCTAAACCGGAGCCCAAACCGATCTGGGTTGCAAGATCTCTGCCATCCGAAATCCAGTGCACTCCCGAAACCGGCTGAAGGTGAAACCCACACCTCATGAATTCAAGGACGCATACATTCAGAGTGAACGATTAGCCTAAACCCTAAAACCCTAAACAAGCCAGAAACCCTTAACAAACCCTAAACCCTAAACAAACCCTAAACCCTAAACAGACCCTAAACCCTAAACAGACCCTAAACCCTAAACCAACCCTAAACCCCAAAAAAGGGAGTGTCTGATGCACCCAAGAGACTTCTGGAGCAGCTGACGGCCCAGCAGCGCACCCTGCCGGCGTTGAAGTGCCCCTCTTCGACTTAGAGTTTAGGTGTTTATGGGTTTTTAGGGTTTCGACTTAGGGTTTAGGGGTTTATGGGTTTTGAGGGTTTAGGGGTTTATATAAATATGGCTCAAGGTCTAGGGCTCGTGAGGCTCTCAGGACTCATACTTTAATCAAGGCTTTTGGGGCCCATCACCGTGCTGTGGAAGGCTGTTGGCCTGTTTTGAGCCTTAGAGTACATATTCAGACAGTCAAGCTGTCAGTGACTTCCAGATTGGCGAGTTCGGGAGTCGTGCATTCAAGTTCCATGGCCTGTGGGTCGAACAGTTGCGCTTTGGACATGGGAGGCGTGGGTGGCAATAGGGTTTATTGCTTGTGGGGGGTAATAAGGATCCAGGAGCCTGCTGGCCTCTGAATACGGAGACCCACGCCTGTACGTCCAAACGCACTCACCCACATTCACCTGCAGCCAAAAACTGGCTTACTAGAATTTGAGTGCCTGTTCACTTTCCCTTAGCATCGAAGGACTCATATTTTTAAGGCTTTTGGGC